GGGGGGGGGGACAGTGTGAGTTTGTAGTCAAGCCAGTATTTCTTATACCAAGGGCTGGATTTTCTCATACTTGGAAGATATTTGCATACATTCCATGGTGAGGAGCAGCACTGAAGCTGCTTGCTCACCAGAATCACAAGACTTAAAATTTTCCCACTAGAGCATCATTCCTTTAAGTTAAGCATTGCTTTTTACACTTTCTATCAAAAATGCAAATACTTAGGAAAAGTGCAGCATATTGATTGAGTCACTAACACCTTCTGAATGAAGGTTTCCCTAAATACACTTGACTCTGAGGAGAGGAAGAGAGCAGAGGCAGTAAGGTGAAGGTCAGACAGACAGCCTCCACCTACACACCGCTGGGCTTTAGGCTGGCACGTGGCCCTCCGCACGTGGATGCTGGACCATGCGCAGGAGAGGTACTAGGCCAGACTGTTTCCTGAGTGCATATGCTGACTTAAAACCTGATTCTTCCAGGGGACGATTTTGTACTACCACGTCACAAGTGTGTTGGCTGCCCTGCAGAGTTACCTGTCGACAGCCCAAGGCTGAAGGAGCCTCTGAGTCATGCCATCACAAAGCTGAATGCAGAGAATAATGCAACTTTCTATTTCAAGGTTGACACTGTGCTTAGAGCCACATCACAGGTTTGTAACTTATGCTACAAAAATAGTGATATTATAGTAATTTTGCCACTGATCTTGGCTCTGGGTTGGGAAATAGTATACCTGGTGAAAGGAATTTGAATGTCAAGTCTCAGCCTTACTATGTGCTTGCCATGTGATCTTGGACAAATCATTTAGGACTTGTTATAGGACATTCTCTTCATTTTGTGTCTGTGAAGGACTGAAGTGAGGACCAAATGAGATAATACACGTCAAGCCCTGGCCGGGTAGCTCATTTGGTTAGAGCATCGTCCTGATACACCAAGGTTATGGGTTTGATTCCTGGTCAGGACACATACAAGAGGCAACCAATGGTCAGGCCGGTGTGGCTCAGTGGTTGAACATCTGACCCATGCACCAGGAGGCCCCTGTTCAATTCTGGCCAGGGTTTCAGGCTCAATCCCCAGCAGGGGGCATGCAGGAGGCAGCCAATTGATCCATGTTTCTCTCTCACTGATGTTTCTGTCTCTCTCCCTCTACTTTCCTCTCTCTCTAAAAATCAATTAAAAAGTAGTTTTTAAAAAATAAAAAGAGTTAAGACCTCAGAAAATTTAAAAAAGAAGCAACCACTGAATGCATAAATAAATGGAACCAAAAAAAAAGAGATAATATATGTCAATACATTATCTTTTCAAACTCTAAGGTGTTATATAAATTCTAGCAACTATTATATAATTAATAAAATGTAGGGCTAGGAAAAGCAAGACTTATTCTCTGCGCTTCTAGACTCATTTCTTATTGTAGCATCACTTAGTGCTTTGGTCTCTGCCCCATCACTCAGTGTATCATCACCCAGACTCTCTTCACAATCTCACCTCCATGTCACCCCCGCCCTCGTCCTTCCAGGCCACAAATGTACCCTCTAGGAATTTGTCTCTCCTTCCATGCCCTGTGAATAGATAAGGAGCATCTTAGTCTGGGGGTCAGGAGACCAGTTTCAGCACAGCATCAGCCACTCATGTCCTGGGTGTCATTCAGACTTACTCAGTCATTGTGGCCCCATCTGTAAAATGAGTGGCTGGGTGAAAAGAGCCCAAATTCCCTCCATCTCCAACAGCATATGACTAAGCTATTCATGGACAGATTCGTGTTATAAATCTCAAAACTGGGCTCCCTAAATATAAGCTAAAGAAAAGTAATCAAAATAGATCCAAACTGTTATAGCAAACTACCATGATCTTTATCATCTGATGAAAAAAACACACACTTCACTTAAAGCAGTTCATGCTTTTGGCTCAGTAACTGAATTTCTAGAAATCTAAAATAGAGTCTTTATAGACAATGATATTCATTGCAGCATTAACTATAAAAGAAAAAATGGTAAACTGTCAAAAGGATCAGTAATATAGAAATGATCAAATAATATCTGGCATATCCTTAAAACGGAGTATCAAGAAGCAATTTTAAAGCGTCTTTGTGAGGAGTTCTTGATGTGGGAAATGCCTTGTGTTAATATATGCAGTGAAAAAAAAGGAGGCCATAAAATTGAATACACACTCTGTTGTCAGTTGTGATATTTTAAAAGTACAGAAAACAATACCGAAAAGAAACCAATGCCTCCAACTATTCACAGCGGTGGCTTTAGGTGATGGTACAATGGGCTGTCTATTTTCATCTTCTAACTTCCTGTATTAGTTTCACTACTGGGGGAAACACCCAAGCAAATGGTATTAAAATAAGTCAAAGCTGACCCTTTGACTTCTCTTCTATTCAGGCATTATTCCTGCCCCGGACACCACAATTTTTCTTCCTCTTTTCAAGGGCACATGACCCATGTTATGCTTACGCACAGGGTACACCTATCCATGCTACTCTTGTGTTTGTCAGCTTTTCTTCTCACTTCATATGTCTGCTTTCTTGTAAAATTCCCATATTCTTGGTGCAGGAATACTGTACTACTCTGCCGAATATTGCATGTCAGAGGTTTGCTGTCAGGAGAGAAGCACATGCATTCTCATACATGACTATCTAGTCCTCTTGGTACTTGTGGGTCTCTGTAGATTAATCAGCATTATAGTGCGGGTCTGTGTGTGTGTGTGTGTTTATGCTAAGGATGCCAGGGGAACAACAGGTAATGCTGTGATTGAAGGGAACTGACATTCCTTCACTTGCCAAATCAATCTGAAATATGGTAAGATTCTCAAACTTACTTACAAAAGATGAATTTTACTGATTTTTGTGCTTAGAGAGAACCAATTTGGCTGTTCTGACATGGTCATTTATGAAAGCCCTGGTGGAAGCAGCCAAGTTACTGGAAATCCATTTACAGTATGATGAATTTGCCAAAAACCAATCTCCAAATGACCAATTTGCCAAATTGCTAAAAATTTATTTTACGTATTTGGTCTTGGCATATTTAGTCCTATTTGGATGTATGTCCATTTCAAGTTTGTTTCATATTTCAGACACCAAATATTTCTTAAATCCTCCCTTTGCACATGTGAACGACTGCAGTTTCTGTCACAGGCTGTTTGTTTTGCCTGGCACCGACTGCTGCTGTGCCCACTGTTGTCTAGATTTCTCCCTGTCTTTGCTCAGGTGAATATACTTCAAGGATCTGTGTGTGCACTTTCAGGAATTTTTTCCTTTAACAAAGTACTAGAAATGTCAAGGCATATATATGTGTCTAAGACTTCTGATGCAAATTGCCAAACAATTTACAATTATGCCAATTTACATTCATACCACTTGGGTATAGGACATTGGTCATCTTGATTTGAGCTATATTTCTACCAACAGGGATTGAGGCTTCATGCTTCCCACACGTGGCCAGTGCCAGGTATCAACGCTGTTTTTCATCTTTGCCAATATACAGGTTAAAAATGCTATTGCATTGGTTTTTTAGAGGGCACACCTTTGGTTATTAATAAAAGTAAACATTCTTTTCAGTCTTAATGACCATTTTAACTTCTTTTCTGAAATACCTGTTCATGTCTTTTGTTCATTTTTTAGTGTTGTGCTTTATATGCATAAAAATATTAATCCTATACCGTATTTTTCCCAGGTTGTTTTTTTTTTTAAACTTTGCTTGCTGTGATTCTTGAGAATCAGTTTTCATTTTTGTCTGGACAAATTTAGGCAATTTTCCTTCCCTTAGGTTTCCTTCCTCTGCTTTTCACCTAAGAAAGACCTTCCTCATCCTGAGATCTGATGGATATTTACTTATATCTTTTGAGTTTATTTCTTTAATTTAAATTTTTAATGCACTTGGAATTTATTTTGCTATGTGGTATTCTCTACTTTAAAAACAAAACTTGAGCAGGATGGGTTTGAGCAGGGAAGACTTCTGATTAGAACGACACCTGATAATAATAGCCAAATAGATTGAATTTGAGGCCCTCAAATGGAAGATTTACATCTACTTAATTCCTTCTTCTGGACCCTGAATAGAGCTGAGCCATCAGTTGTGGTTTGTTTTACATATTGTCAGGTTTCTTAGGCAACATTACCTTGATCAGCATTATTGTTAAAAACTGGATTAAGATATATTCTGAAAAGAACAAGAAAACTTATGATCCACCAAAATATAGACCCTAGAGGAAGGTTAGAACCTTCCCCCCCACTTACACATACACCTGGATTTTTAAAGGCTAAGTAGCAAATTTTACTTAAAAATTTAACCATGCTCCACAGCAGAACAACGCCAGAAAAGGTGGAGAGGGAGTTTAGTCCTTCCTATGACTCCCTTCTCCCACTCTTCTTCCGCCCCCCCACACTTCCTCCAGGCTTTTAAAAAACACAGAGATAGGGAAGACTGTTGTGCTTTACTTTTACAAATGAGATTATTCTGTCAGCCTGTAACTTCATTTTTTTAAATAATGGTCATCTCTCCAGGTCAACAGATATATTGATGTATTCTTTTTGATAGGTATATATAACATTACACACTCGCACACACATTTAAACCCTAGAATTAAGTACTGAATAACTTGGTCTAGAAATTGGGCCATATCAATTAACACTTTAACACATAATTTAAAGTCATTTTTACCAAGTATATTTTTCAAGTGTAAGAGATGTAAGATATGGCATCTTAAAATGACCTTTAAAAAGCTACATTTGCAATTTTACTGATGTCAGAGTATTTTAAAAAGCTTGAGTTTAATTTTTTAAATAAATAAAATGTGCCTCTTCTATATAAAAAAATAAATAAATTGGGCTTCAAAGTGTTCATTGTGCAGACAGTATTATATGATGATTTAAACTGTTGCTAGAGCCCTGGCTGGTGTGGCTCAGTTGGTTGGTTGTCATTCTATGCACCAAAAGGTTGCCAGTTCAATTCCGGTCAGGGCATGTGCCCAGGTTGCAGGCCCAGTCCCCAGAAGGGGCCGTGCAGAAGGCAACTGATCAATGACTCTCTCTCATCATTGATGTTTCTCTCTTCCTCTCTCTGAAATCAATAAAAACATATTTTTTAAAAATAAAGTAGTTAATTAAAACCTGTTGCTAGAGATTGCAATGGTTTCTTAATATTAAAAATTAAGAGAGGCAAACTAGAAAATCCAAATAATATTCCTAATCACATAATTTAACTCACATAATTGCTATAGTGGCACTAACTCAGTATTTCTCTGATTCAAGACTTGGCAGGACAATAACGCATACTTAAAGAAAACATTTAAGTTTTTCCTCCTACTCTTCTTTGATTCTATTACAACTTGAGCACTTGAATGACTAATGAATTTTGCAGCTCTCGAACCATAAAACTCAGAAAAGTATAAAAATAAAAATTATAGCCTGCTTTTCTTTTCCTATGGAGAAAAGGAGACGAGACCAACCAACAGCCAAATATTTTACTAAAAGTTTAGTTGTCAAATATTTGTACTTTTTTGTGTGTAGCTCTCATTTGGTCAGTGTATAATTAAAATGTTAATATTCTCCCCTAAGATCCCTTAGGGTAAAAACTCATGATTTATTATACAATATTAATTAAGCTTCTACTTTGTGCTAATTAATTTTCCAGGTGGTGGCTGGAACAAAGTTTTTTATTGAGTTCACCGCCAGGGAAACCACATGTTCCAAGGGAAGTAATACAGAGTTGACCGAAAATTGCGAGACCAATAAACTTGGAGTGAGTAGTCATGCAACACTCTACTTATTCCCTGGAAATCTACTTGATGTTTTATACTTATTTGAGTATTTCATGACTAACACTGTTCTCTCTTTTGCTTTTGTTTTCATGGGTAGAAAATTCTCACCTGCACTGCTGACATTTATGTAATACCTTGGGAGGATAAAGTTTTCCCTACTGTCAACTGTCAATCACAAGGACAGGTATGCTTCTAATTAGTCAGCTTGGGTAAATTTTGCTCATTCTGAAAAGTCCTATTTGGGGGTTGAAAGCGAACCGTTATTTATATGAGTTAGGAGACTATCTTTTTAAAATGGGGAGAACTCTCACATTTCCATGCTAATCTTTCTTTTCTATGTCTAGAAAGGAAAACAACAGTCCCCTTAATCACTTCTCACATTCTGTCAGTGTCCTATCCTTCAGCAGGCTCTTTCTCAGTGAAGTGCAGGCCCTGGTGTGCAGAGCCAACACTAGCTCTGTGGCTTCAGAGTGTCTCTGAGATGCTTCAGTGGCATCCGCTTACATCCAAGGATCTTGGGAGAAATGCAGATCTCAGACCCCACTCCACATCTACTGAATCCAAATCTGCATTTTAACGTGATCCGCAGAGGGTTCATACCCACGCAAGTCTGAGAAGCATTAGATTGTATCATTCTTTCTAATGCTTAAGAGAACCTTGGGAGGTAAGTAATACTTTCCTACTGTCAAGGATGAGACACTAGAAATTACAAAGATTCTGAGATCCTGGAGTGATTATTAACATTATCAAGTGCTCCCTGTGTCCCAGGCTGTACTGAGACTTCACACAACCCTATGAGGAAGGTGCTGCTGTTATTCTTACTTTAGAGATGAGAAAAGTGAAACTAGTGGTGTGGAGATTCAATCATAGGTCAAATCAGAGCCCCCCATATCCACATGATGCTGACAACTAGGGTCTGGCTTGTTCGATTCCAAAGACCATTCTCTTCCCACCACTGAACACTGCCCCCAGCCATCATGTTCTCACAGGTAGTGAAAGTGTAGGTAGAAATAATCCATGTCTTCTATGCAAGTTGCCTCTTCTCCCTTTTTTCTGATTTAGGTTTTTGCCCTGTGTAGGTATGTATGTAGTCTAACACAAACATTATGCAAAGGCTGCGTTTCAAGCTTGTGAATATGTCCTAATGTGTTTCAGGCCAACAAAGTAATCGTGGATATATGTTTCATATATATTCAGTCCATAAAGCCACTGAGGGCCTTTTAGAATGAAAGCAGTAATTGTGCTAATAGAAATAGTATCAATTAATAAATAATGCACCATGGTTTTACATAATCATAGGCTTAGAAGGTACCCTAGAAACTATGTAGTTCAACCTCCCAATTTTTCCAGATGAAGAAAAAACTCTCCAACTTAGAGGAGTATTATTAAGAACAATAATAAACATCCACAAATTACAAAATCAGTCAAAAGAGGAAAAGATAATCATTCTCATCCTTTCTACAATATTAATATAGTATTTAAAATCTGGCAAAGACTTGCTCCATTGTAAACCAAGATAGCGTTGCCAGGTCTCAGTCCCTTCTTTCTTCCTTGATAGTGTGGTTTTCACAGTAATGCATTCATCTTAATATTTCCTGTTTAGACCTCATTGATGAAAAGGCCTCCAGGGTTTTCACCTTTCCGATCAGTACTTGTGCTGGAAACAAAAGAAGGAACAACTGTAAGTCCACCCCACACTTCCATGGCACCTGTACAAGATGAAGAGCAGGATTCAGAAAAAGAACAAGGACCCACTCGTGAACATGGCTGGGGCCATGAAAAGCAAATAAAACATGGCCTTGGCCATGGCCATACACATGAGCATGACCAAGGCCATGGGCACCAACAGGGACATGGTCTTGGCCATGGACATCAACGAAAACTTGACTATGATCTTGAACACCAAGGGAGGCATGGACTTGGCCATGGACATCAAAGGGAACATGGCCTAGCCCATAGACATAACCATGAACATAGTCATGGCCATGGAAAACATAAAGATAAAGGAAAAGAGAATGAAAAGCACAATGATTGGAGAACAAAGCATTTGGCAAGTTCTTCTGAAGATAGTACTACATCTGCACAGACACAAGAGAAGACAGAAGGGCCAACATCCCTTCCCTCCCTACCCCACCCAGGTGTAGCATTTACCTTTCCTGACTTTCAGGACTTAGATCTCACTGCAGCTCTGATGACTAATATACCACCAGCTCCCACAGAGAATGATGATGTTTGGATCCCTGAAATCCAGATAGAGCCAAATAGTCTTTCATTTAACCCGATACCTGATTTTCCAGAAACAACCTCCCCCAAATGTCCTGGACGCCCCTGGAAGCCAGTAAATGGAATGAATCCAACTGTGGAAATGAAAGAGTTTTCTGATTTTGATCTCTCTGATGCTTTTTATTAATGTATGCAGCCATGGGTGTTTCTTTAATACTTCATCGTCCCCTTTCCCCACTGCCCAAATACCCTGATATAATGCACCAAAAACCATGAAGCTTCAGAACAGACTAGAGAGAAGTGGGGAGATTCCCAGTGGGGACACCGTCAATTTCTATGGACAACATAAAACTGTGTGCAGAATTCTAAATCCTTTCTGAGTTGCTCACAAGTTTTCTTAACTAGCACAGAAAATGGACAAACAGATGTACCTTGTGACCCTACTGCAGTTTGCTTTTCTAATAACAAATGTGTACCTTAGAATGGATGTCATCGATTTTCATACAAAGATTCTTACCATCTGAATAAACTGTGGCATCTGGTCCCTGAACACATGAAAATAAGGAAAGTCAAGAGACTGAATGCTGAACTTCTTAATGGGGGAAAAATAGTAATAATAACACCAGAGGTGAAAGAGGGACAACAAGAAAGACAGACTAATGGAAGGGAGGATAGAGGAAAGTAAACTAATTGACTTTGTTTCCAAAATGGGCTAGTTATATATCAACTAGTTACTCCCACTTAACAAAGCTATTCTGATTATTCTCTTTGTGAGTGAGAGTGTTTCTCACAAGTCAGTAATTTCTGTTTACTCATTAACTACTTTTGCATCAAGGCTTTCAAATAGGAGTTTTCTGTTAATTTGTGGCTGAGGCTAGAATGAGTAATCCTTAGTTTTCTGCAGCTCTGAGTTGAATGAGAACAGTGGAAAGCAGAAGTAGTAATGAAGAGGCAGCCTTGTGAAGGAAATCTTTTTTCATAATTGTTAGAAATTTTATGAAGAAATGCCTCTCTAGCCACACTTTATTATCACGTCATCTTTCTGCTACGGTATTGAAGAGCGCTGATTTTTGCAAAAAAGAACAATATGATTGTCTTCAATTGCTTCTAATGTGAGGAAGGCACACATTTCATAATCCTTGCTGTGTTTTGCCTAGGGAAACAAGATAGGGCTTTAAACAGCTGCAGTGGCCTGTGGATGCCTGTATCACTGCTCCTTCATTATTGGGTGCATTTGAGCCTCTGAGCTTTTATTTCGTTTCAAATATTATCTGTACTTTTCAATGAAAAACCAATGATGTCAGGAAAGTCTCATTTTGTCAACTGGTTGCTTCACTCTTCTCTTCTTAAATGATAACATCAGATTAACAGGATTTTACTATACTTACAGAAGCGACTAAAGCCCTGCGAGTACAAGGGCCGACCTCGGGAGGCAGGGGCAGAACCAACATCTGAGAGTGAGGTCGCATGACTGGTGGGCAGAATCTCCACGCCTAGCACAAAAGCCCCAACAACCTATCTGCAGCCCTGAATGGAAAGACAAGATGATGGGATAGAATGTAGAGAAGAATGCCGTTTTATCACTCTGTTTCTGGGTGAAATAAAGTTTGATTTTGACATTGTCACTCCTGGTTAATTCACAGTAGTCTTCTTTCAGCCACATCCATCCTGCAGCAAAGTCCAATCGATCACAGAGCACTCTGCCAATGGAGACTTGCAGTGCAATTCTGGAGCAGTCTTGCTACCTGAGGCAGGAATCCCTTAAGTGGGCCTTCCTACCACCAAGACCTCATCACAGGCTCTAAATTAAGGGTTGGCAGTTCATGTTTCCACCAGCAAGCTAAGGAGTCTCTCTACCTTCCCTTCCTCCTCCTTCTCCTGATTCTCAGCTCCAAGTTGAGTGGTTTGTCTTGTTTTATTATTTTTTATGATCTAGGTAATTACCAAAAAAAGAAAACAAAAAAGCCTTCTTTGTTAATATCATATTTACCAACTTTTCATTAGCAAAATATATCTACCCCCAAAAGAAGTTTAGGCATGGGGTGGGGAGTGGGTGGGGGTAGAAGGGACTAATGAGGGGGAAAAGGGACATCTGTAATATTTTCAACAATAAAGATAAATTAAAATTTAAAAAAATAAAAGATACATTAAAAAACACAAACAAAAGTTTAAAGAGAATTTAAAGTCTTTCTGGTTAGAATAAAGGTGAAAATAGAAATCTAATAGAATAAAAAGTGATATGAGATTTTTAATTTTCTGTAATAAAACACATTTACTGAGTGCCTATTATAGACATTTACCATGCTAGACAATTTCTGTTCTGTTTAGTGGGTGACTTAATCTTCATAGCCACTCTGAGGTCCCTGTGGTCACTTCTCTTTTACATGAGGAAATTGTAGCTCACAGTGCCCTGCTCAGGGTCACAGGGTTAATATGTGACAGAGTTGGTGTTCACACTCATACCTTTTGAACTTCATTACACCATGTTGCCATGAGGCATTATTATCAATGTTGTCATTACAAAAAAAAAGCAACACATTTCTGAACCTCAGATGATCATTACAAAACCCTTATTAATTATCTCATTGTGGCTGAGGCTCTCCTGAGTACTGCTCAGGGTGAACTATAACTGAGTAAAGCACTGGCATCAGCTTTTTGCCATATGCTTAGCACTAGGTGCTGAGGAAAAGAGAAACAAATGTTAAAAGACATAAATCCTTTCCTTCAAGGAACAGTCACATGGGGAAGTCAGGACTAAAGCATGTGGAGCATAGTTAATCGAGCCGTGATCAATGTGGAGCAGTAAGCAGACCTGACAGATGTGCTAGACAGACGTGGAAAGAGAAAATGAAGCCCGTTGAGAGTTTAGCTCTGAAGTAGGCAGTAAGGAGCCTCTTCCAGTCCTTGAGCTAAGATGCCCTGAAGGAGTGTATAAAACACGTTATTCGGAAGATTCTGGAAAGCATTGATTAGAGTGAGAAGAGATTGGACTCAAGGCAGTAGTTCAGGTACTTTAACAGAAGACGGGTATATAAGGCCTATGGTTCTCAGGTTACTCAACAACATGAAGTATTTCCACTTTAGACCTTTGTTAGATAAAATAATCATGGGTTTTCCTTCTCTTCAGGGCAGGAATTTCGTCTTCTTCAGCCCAACCCATTTCCCTCACATTGTCTAGGCCTACCACCTCAAGCAGGATGCCCTTACTGGTTTTTTACCACTTCTTCCATTTCCTGCTAAGCCTCATCCCAGTCTGTCCAGTGCTCACCCCCGCCCCCGCTTCCCCCCAAGACCCTGCTGGTGCTCTGTGGGAGAGGCCAGACCTCCCCAAGCCTCCTATGAGAAAACTTGAAAGAGTCCAGTAGATATAACAACCCAGTCTTCCAGAAGTTGCAGTGTCTCTACCTATAAGTTAGATGCTCAGCAAGGAAAATATTATCTAAACACCTTGCAAAAAATGCTCTTGTTAAATTATTTACCTCTGGCCTTCATTTTACAAGAATCTCCATTTAACCACCACACTCTGTGTTTTGCAAAACTTTGCCTGGAGGTATTGCCCAGTATTCACATTAGAGGCAGTGTAGTAAAATGGTTAAGAACCAGGGTTCTGCAGTTAGCCTGAATCCCCAAACTGGAAATTTATTTAAGTTATCAAGGTCCCAGTTTCCTCATCTAAAATATTAGGTTAATAATATGTTCACATCATAGGTGTGTTGTGAGACTTAAAAGAGAGAATTCCTTTAACTGGCATAATGCTTAGCACATGGCAAGCACTCAGTAAGCGGTACCTATTGTTGCATTACTGAGGCATAAATATATTGTTTTTAGAATTTAACTCTGGGAAAATAATATTTTGTCAGGCAAGATGTGTTTAACACATATTCCTTTTTTCCTTTTCAGCCATACACAGGTTTCAAAGGTTGTAATCAGCTCATATCAAGTGGCTGGTAACATCTACTCCCTCATTTTCAGTTTCACAGTTCTCAACCTTGGCTGCACATTTGAACCACTTAGGGAGCTCTAGACCATATGAATCCAAATCTCTGCAAGTTGTTCTGAGTATCAGTATTTTTCAAAAGTTCCTCATTGATTCTAATGCATCTGAAGGTGAAAACAACTGATTTAGGCCTAATCTATTTCCTTTTCATCTTAGTTATCCAGTTTTACAGTGTTGCACTTTATTTTTATTCTCTTTCAAATCTTTTTGAAAATAGGAGAGTTATAAAATTTATAAGGCATGAATGGATGGATGGATAGATGAAATGATGGACAGATGGACAGACAGATAACTAAGTATTATTTGCACTAGGATTGTTGCAATAAGAATGGAGAGTACAAGAGGGGCATAAGTGGCCTTTCAAAGACTTATAAACAAATTATTTACTGAGTATGAGGAATGAAGGACAGGAATAAGTCACAGATGACAAAAAGTTTTCTAGTCTAGGCACCCAAGGGAATGGTAATGTCACTGACACAAATAAGGAAACTGGGAGCTGGTCTGTGCTTTCTAGTAACTCGTATAAAATCAGACTGACCCAAAATGCACATAATTTAAGATATTTCAACAGCTGAATAAACATATGAAATCATTGTGCAAATGAGTGTAAAACACTACTATGACCCACCTCAAATTATTTCATTTACTGCGATACCTGTGGCATCTGCCATATTAACAGGGAAGCATCAGCTACTCATGGACTACACCTGTGGAAAACATTGGGAAAACTACAATTACAGGACTCCTCATATCAAAAAGAACAGAAAGGAAAGAAATTATTTTCTGAAAGTAATCTTAACTTCTATGTGACTGATGAACTAGAAACCTGAACCTAGCAAAAGATCTTTGTTATGACAGCTTTTCTATCTCCTATCTTCTCTGTATGGCATTTGGAGATGGTACCATTCTGACTGTGTGGAAATGCCGCTATTCTATCATGGCCATTAAAAGTGGACGGAATCATCCCTCTTGATAAAAATAGAAGTATCAGCTATTTACGTACCAGCTGGTGATTTAGTACTGTGTCAACTGGCTCAATGGGAATTGTTTCCAAGAAGCCCCTTTTCCTGTGTGGTTCTAGGTTAGAGTTTTTCAAAGAATATGGAATGAAGCAGAGCCACTACCCCGGGAAGTCACGGGGTAAGACGCAGTGAGCGCCAATGCCGAGGTGCTGAGGGCTCCAGCCTGGCCTCACCCTCCCTTAGTTTGCGTGCAGCACTCCCCACCGCTGGCCGTGTTGACTGCAGCCCCACGAGGAGCATTAGGCACACTCCTGCAGGTTTCTTCACTAGCTCCCTCCACAGATCCTCTGGCAGCTGGACGTGCTTGCCCAGATTTTCCTAAAATCTCTGACTGGCCCTATAGCACCCATGCCTGGGGAGGCTGACTAGTAACTTTTCTCTGATCCCCCAACTTCTTACTTTCCTAGCTCCTCCCACAACGGTGTAAGGTCTAATTCCTAAGATAAATCCTTTATACCCTAAGACTCAGTGTGGTTCTGCTTCCCTGATTGAACTTGACCGACACTTTTCCCCCTATCATTTTACATCAGGAAAACTCGTTCCATTGCTTTCAAACACAGAACCAGGCCAAGCAATTCAACTGCATTAGAGAATCTCCTAAGAAAATGAGTAAAGGCTGTTTCTGCCCTAAGGAAATCAATTTAGTGGGGGACACAGACATATAAAAGTATATATAAGGATCACAACAGGAGGTAGAGGTGTGCTTGTGGGGAAGTGAGAGCAAGAAGAAACAGTCAAGTCTGAGAGGCAGTAAGCAAGTTGAGAGGGCAAAGACCTGTCTCCTACAGCACCATGTTCCCAGGGTCCAGGCACGGTGATTTAACAGAAAATTGAATTGAATTGAGGTAAACTGAATTTGCATATGGCACAGTGGTAAGCCCTAGGAATAGGGCACTGAACAAGACAAACAGCTAGTTCACGCCTACACTTAGCTAACAATCCAGTGCAGTGGTTCGCAAACTTGAGCATGCATTAACATCTCCTGGAAGGCTTGTTAAAACCTGGGTTGCTGGGGCCACTTCCAGAATTTCTCATTCAGTACATCTGTGGTGGGTACCTGGAATTTGAGCTTCTAACAAGTTCCCAGGAGGGGCTGGTGCTGCTGGCCCAAGGACCATACTTTAGAACTGCTAGTTTAACAATTCTCAACCTATCTGCTAGAATCACTGGCGCAACTTTAAAAAAATACATTGCTAGGAGCATCACCACAGGCCCATTAAGTCATGTTTTCTAAGTTCTGCAGGTGATTTTAATGTGTAGGTCAGGGTCAAAACCAATGAAGTGATGAATAGTAGCAGTTGCAGGGTGGAGGGGATCATTGGGGAAATTAAAGGGTACATCTGTAACACTTTCAACAATAAAGATACATTTTTAAATAAATAAATAAATAAATTAATTAATTAATTAATTAATAGCCAGGCCGGGCGTGGCTCAGCGGTTGAGCATCG